TTGTTAGTCTGATTACTTCTGTTGGCATGTGTGTATCTCACAATAGTAATTAGCACTTATGCAGTGCTTTACATTTTCAAATCACTGTTAAAAAAAAAAAAAAAAGCTTGATGGCATTGCTGAATGACGGTCTTTTTTTATTTATTTTTCCAGCTGAGTTTACTGAGATTTCTGCAGTTGGGAGAGGGGTGTGGGAGGTGTTGTGCATATTGACCCAGTAACAAACACAAGAGAAATTGTTTCTTCATTGAAATCCTCTCTCTTTGAAGATTAATCACTGATGAATTTTCATAATATTACAATTCTATATGTGACTATATTGACCTTTTGAGTCTACAAAAGAAAACAAAGGAACAGAGATTATGGGTTTTGGGAGGGAATCACAGAATGGTTGAGGTTAGAAGGGACCTCTGGATGTCACCTGAGCTGACCTGCTCAAGCAGGGTCACCTAGAGCCAGTTGTCCAGGACTGTGTCCAGATGTTCTTTAAATATCTCCAGGGATGCAAGCTTCACAACCTCTCTGGGCAACCTGTGCCAGTGCTTGGTCACCCTCTCAGTAAAAAAGTATCTCCTGACGTTTAGACAGCACCTCCTGTGTTGCATTTTGTGCTCATTTTCTCTGGTCTTGTCACTGGGCACCACTGAAAAAAAAGCCTGGCTCTGTCATCTTTGCACCCTTCCTTCAGGTATTTATGTACATTGATGAAATACCCCTTGACTTGGTCACCCTCTCAGTAAAAAAGTATCTCCTGACGTTTAGACAGCACCTCCTGTGTTGCATTTTGTGCTCATTTTCTCTGGTCTTGTCACTGGGCACCACTGAAAAAAAAGCCTGGCTCTGTCATCTTTGCACCCTTCCTTCAGGTATTTATGTACATTGATGAAATACCCCTTGAGCTTCTCCAGGGTGAACAGTCCCAGCTTTCTCAGCCTTTCCTCACAGGAGGCATGCTCCAATCCCTTCATCCTCTTACTGGCCCTTCATTGGACTCACTCCAGTAATGTCCATGGCTCTCGTGTACTGAGGAGCCCAGAACTGGACACAGTACTCCAGGTGTGGCCTCATCAGTGCAGAGCAGAGGAGAAGGATACTCTTCCCTTAGCCTGCTGGCAATATTTTGTCTAATGCAGCCCAAGATACCATTAGCTCTCTTTCCTGCAAGGGCACTTTGCTGGCTCATGTTCAACTTGATGTCCACCAGGACCCTCAGATGCTTTTCTGCCAAGCTGCTTTGAGGCTGAGTGACCGCCAGCATGTACTGTGCCTCGGCTTGTTCCTCTTCACGTGCAGGATTTTGCAGTTCTCCTGTTGAACTTGATAAGGTTCCTGCCAGCCCATTCCTCCAGCCTGTTTACATCCCTCTGGATGACATCATGACCCTCTGGCATATAAGCCACTCCTCCCAGTTTGATATCTGCAGACTTGCTGAGGGTACACTGTCTCATCATCCAGGTCATTAATGAAGATCTTGAACAGGATTGGACCCAGTATTGACCGCTGGGGTACACCACTATTTACTGGTCTCCAATAGGCTTTGTGCCACTGATCACCACCCTCTGGGCCTGGCCATTCAGCCAGTTTTCAATCCATCTCACTGCACATTCCGCCTGTACATCAACAGCTTCTCTGAGGATCTTTGGGAGTCCACACTTAAGCTTGGCTGCACTTGATACGCTGAGACATCCCTGGCATCTGAGACTTGGCACATTCACAAGAAGACAAGTTTGTTTCTGCACAACTTTGAATGTGTGCCTATTGAATGGCATTCCATTATTAGATTTTTTTCACTAGACCATTTCTCCAGTTTGTCAATGGAATTCTGACTTCTCCTTAGGATGCTTCCTGGCCATTGCAGCCTGGCAGCACCTCTGGACTTAATCAGTATATTCCTTATTCCATCATCCAAATTTTTAAAGTTATGTCTTAGAGCCAGACAAAGCAAAGACCTCATCCAGAATGCATCTTTACATTTTTCACAATGAGTGTGAAAATCTACTTAGTGTAGTTTTCCGGCTGTTATTGTACCCATTCTGTAATAATTACACACAACCCATATTTTTTCTGGTGTATTTCACACAGTCTCCAGTGATATTCTCATGCCTTCATGAAGTCGAGGTACAGGACGTTTACAGGTTTGCTTTCATCAGGAAGGCCCTTTATTTTCCTGTCCAAGTCAGAAATTATACTTAGTTTGATATAAATGGCTAAAATATGTCCTTGGCAAACAATTAATCATATCCTTTTATGTTTTAGAGGGTCACCGAAAATGTTTTAAGTTTTTTTTTTTTTCTGGGTAATTTTGACCAGTCATCTTAGCTTTGTTTCTTTAGCTTATCCTTTCATATCTCTTTTCCTCTTTGAAAGTAGGCATGTAGGTATTGTTTTGTTTTATCTCTAGCTTCTGGATTCTCGTGTGTTTTTCATGATTTCTCAGAGGTAACGGTTGAGATTACTCTGGGTTGTATAGAACCTGTTGGAGTAAATTTAATCAATTGTAATTTAAACCAGATTAACTTCTATAAATTCTGTGTCTTGTAGTTCACTATTTTTCCTTTTTGTTCTTGCTCCCTTTCTGCTGGTGGTGTGCTTGCCATCTGATTGCAGCTGACCTCTTTGTGAAAAAATAAAGCAAAAAGGCACAGAACACTTCTGTTTTCTTGGCATTGTCCATTTTCTTTCCCACTGAGTATTGGAATAACTTCTTCCTTGCTGCTCTTATCTATGGAATTGTGGGGTTTGTTGTTTACATACATACCTTTTCTCATTTTGTGTGTGACCTTTCTGAATTTGTTTCTGCATGAATGTGCTGCTATTGTACTTGTCCTTGATAATTTGACCTAGTTCCTTTCTTCCTACTACTTCTTATGTTTTGAATCATCAAAGCATTTGTGAATTGCCAGCTGGTCTCTTACTATATATACTTCCCCCTTACATGTTAAGATAGTTTGTATTTGTGTACTGAATACTGCTTCTCTGAGAAGTGCTTGGTTGTCCTGACTTCTTTGCCCCAGAATTTGATTCTGGGAAGAAGAAATCTCTCAGTTGAAGGAAGTATACTTCAGTAAACTCAGTGAAGTCCCTTGGCTTTGTTTATTTCTACATTTAAAAAAAAAAAACAAAAAAAACCCCAAAACTGAATTTCAAGAACTGGCTGAACAATCTGTTGTATTGCAGAGTCCAAAGAGTTGAAGAACTCTTAAAACTAATTTCGAAGCCCCTTCCTCCATGAGTTGCAACCCTCAGTTGTTCTTCTGTATAATTAATGTGAGTTGGAGTTTCCTCATTGCATTTTTTTTTTAGTGGCGATGTTTTTTTTAGTTTAGTCATGTATTTTGTATTTCCATGTTTTCTTTTGGTATTGTTGAGATGTGTACAACTTCTTTCCTTCAGAAGGCTTTCTTTTAACTTTATAACATCTGCACCTCTGATGTCACCTGTGAGGACGTAATTTGGAGTGGAGGGAGAAGGAACAAAAGCCTGCTAGGTATTGCAATGATGAATCTCAAACATCTTAATATTCACTCTGTTGAAACTTTAAGTCTTAGGTAAGAAAGGAGTGCTAGAAGCAACTTCAAAACCTGTTCTTCTACATATTTTTATGAAAACCTCTGCTCTCTGACACAAAAGAAGTAGTCTGCTTCAAAATGAGAGAGGAGGCCAATGCCAGCAGATCTTTTTGCACTTGTTATGGTTTATATCTGACCCAACAATATTTGAGCTAGTATAGTAGTTTGCCTTTATAATCAGTGAAGAGAGCGAGCTACTTCTCTGAAAAGTGGACAACTGCATTTTAATTAGGTAACTTAATCCCTAAAGGTGTCCCCTTCTCTCAACCAGTTAAAAAGGAAGCCTAGTATATTAGCTTAGGTTTAGGTGCCTACTTCTGGTGAAATAAATCTTAATTCTCCCATTTACCCTTTCTGTAGACCATTTCTGCAGTTCTGGTTAAGTACCGAGGGTCAAACCTGCATTAGCAGGAGGGAAGAACTGCTCTAGAGATCAAGGAAAGTAAGAAAGGGATTCAGTAAATTAATGTAGAGTTCAACTTTGTTTTTTCACGTGCCAAGTCAGAGATAGATTCTTGTGATGCCTGTAGAGCCCATGTTGCTTGAATCGAGAAACTGCCTCTGAATGAGCTGAGTGCTTCCCTCTGTTGCTTGTGCCTGTGGAGTAGAGGTTGTGACAGACATGTTTTTATGTGAAGTACCCGTGTACTGTGTGTGTGATAGTACCTTGCCTGAAGTAGGCCTTATTGTTATACTAATCTCAGAAATGCCTGCTTCTAGTACCCAAAATCAGCTACATGGTGCAGTCTTTAAAGACTCTTTCTTTGAGTAGAAGCTGTAGTTACTCTTGATCTCTTAACCCCAGAGTTCCTCACCCTGCTGTAAAACTGCTTCCTGAGTGCAAGAGCTAACTGCTTCTCTGCTGAGATGCTGAAATTTTTGAGCTCCGTGGCATTCCATTGCAGTGCTAATGAAATGACATGAGGTACTTGCTAAATGCAGCAGCCCTGGAGAAGCAGCTCGTTGTGCCTTTGTAGATTAGACTACAGTTAAAACAGTTTGCGTGTGTGACACTTCATGTGTAACCGTTACAAAGAATTTCTTGTTCTTGTGGTGGCTTGGAAGAGAGTGCCCAGTAATGATAGAGCTCTAGCTAAGGATGATAAATGTGTCTCGATATTGGAAATTAACCTTTCCAGATGATGAATTGTGGAAACCATGTGAAGCTTCTGTCATTCTAATTAGTCTGGCTAAAACGTCTAGCAAACAGGGAGATTTCTTATGTCTCTGAGAATAGAAAATGACTGCAATAAAGGGACAAATGCCAGCATATTGCAGGAGGTGCCCTGTGCTTTTTAAGTCTGTGTATCCAGATATTGACTGATAGAAAAGATTGTGAGATTAAATGCTGTATGTTTTTAAAATTCTATTTTTTCTAACTTTACCTTTAAATGTATAAACTTAATGTTATGGCATGCTTCATTTTCACAGATAAGGAAGGACATAATTTTTCTATATTCTGGGTGCTGGTGAGTGTTATCCTAGGTGCAGTAGCCATGCTGTGCAAAGAACAAGGAATTACAATACTGGTAAGAATCCTATTATTGACTGAATTTTGACCTCGGCATCTGTCAGGTGCAGTTGTAAAGCCTCCAAAGATGAATTTTCTTCACAGCTAATCACATCCACACCTTTTTATTCTGTTCATAAAACTAGTTAATTTTGACAAAAAGCGGTATTCTAGTAGATCTGTCTTGATTGTATTCCTGCCAATCTGTTGGAATTCTTCATTTTATCTTTTGTAAGCAGGTTGTATATATCTGTTAACTTTTTGCAAAATTTAAAAGATTTACAGTGTTCGTTTCAATGCGCATTGTGTTCATTGAATGTTTGGTTTTGAATGTAATTGTCGAGATAGGGGGCCTAAAAACCTCGTTGAAGGCTTATGAACAAAGACATAAATGGAGGAGAGCATTTTTAAAGCCCCACCCTCTTACTTTTGTGAACAGTGTAATTAGAAGGAGGGCCATTGTTTATGTGTTTCTAATACTGAATCTCTTCCTTCTGTCCCTTATTTAAGGATCTGTCTATTCAAACAGATATAGTTACTGTTCATGTTCATTGTGCTCTTGCTTTTTATTACTTTAGTGAAGACATTCTCTTTTGGGTGACCAAATCAGCCACCTGAAATGCTACATCTGTGATTTTTACCTTTTATGTAGCCATGTATCTTACAAATAAATTCGATTTGTAGCTTTAACTGACATAGATCAAGCAACAGAATCAGAATTCTTTGCAGCAAGGACCCTCTTGTCCTTGTTAGAAAGAGAGAAGAAATTACAGAAAACTTCTTGCTTTGGATAAATGTTTGTAGAATGATGTAATTTTCAAAGGTGTCTGTAAGGAAAACATAAGGAATTCTCTTAAAACATGGTGTGATTATTTTCTTTAGTGGTAGGAAGTACTAATTTGAGCTAGCAGACACAGAATTGTTCCTGGGTCTGGGTTTTGTATTTGTTTGCTGTTACATTGGTAGGATGATGATATTTATTGTTGTACTGAGGGGCACGGGTCAGAGGGATGAAGGGATAAAT